TTTGTTATCGAAAAGACATTGGTGTTTTATTGATAAGGAAAAACCTTACAGCAAAGATACACGAGACTCGATAAGAATGTTTATATCAAATGGAGATTTAATTTAGAGGTCTTTCCTATAATTTTATTAATTGACATGAATAGTTTTTAATACTATACGTTGGTTAGTAATTAACTTGTATATCTAATCTAGTAACTTTTGATATTAGAGACAAATCTACCAAAAAATACTAAAAATGCCTGTCCTTCAGGAATATTGGCAAAATGAGATTTACCCTCACTAAAACTAACTCGATTGCGATCTTCAAGTGCTATTGCGATGATCCGAAAACGTCCAAAACTAATTCACTAACCTAACTTCATAGCAACAAGTAAATCGATGTACTTGAATACGTTTTATAATGCTATCAATATAATTCCAGGAGTATTCCATCATAAACATCTTTCGCCATGATCTCTGAACGTGTCAGAATCGATAACCTGTACAGTAATCGATTTGATAAGAGCTATTAGCTTAATTGGTTCACGATTGATAGGTATAATTATTAAGATAAAATGACTGCAATGCTGAGATAAAGAAAACCAGTCACATAACGATACAGTACCTAGATTAAAAAAAAATAGATATATCATGGTGAAACGTAAAAAAACTAATGTATCATCAAAGAATATCGGTTAAAGTTATAAGAGGTATATAAATCGTTCCAGTATTAAGTAACATGTGAAGACAACTGTACAATAAAATAGTGGAGGGAATATTGTAATGTAAGATTTTTTCCCGTTGGCATAAGATTTCAAGTGGGCGACTATTTTGCGTACATCTTACACCTCAGTGAAAGACATTAGTCGGAACATTACCGTGATTTATACGATACCCACATATAAATCCACAGGAATCTGGAATGGAACACACCCTCACGAGTTTTTTGTTCTTTTTTCTGTAATGAATGAATCTTTTAGCCTAGTCTAAGTAGATATTTAGGTTAGTGGTGTAACACAAAAAGATTAGTGATCGGATATAAGAATGGAATTTACGTAAGTACGTAATTATATAACCTAACCAAATAGTGTTTAGTAAAATAAAGATTGAAAAAGTGTGATACCAAAGACCATCGCTAATTCACGATTAAATTGACTATGGACATCATGTAAAGGCAAAAATTGATTAATAAAGAGTAATCAAGTACTGTGTATGCGTACTTCGTATTTTAAAAAGATACAAGTGCCTTTTTAGGTTTGATAGACGAACCCAGTGAGCACAAATTTGTAAGCAAACGGCAGACAGGTGAGCCACGAAGTAACACCTAATGTTGTATTCAAATCATTCCGTCACTGGATTTCGACCTCGGCTCAATCAAATTACTAAAATTTCAATGTTTTATTAAGTTAAACTTTACCGCGGCGGGTCTAAGTGAATTTATTTGTACTTAGTTATCGGCTCTTTGGAGTAATTTCAGTAACGTTTCGTTGAGTTGAATAATTAAATTTGTCAGACGTTTGACGCGACGTCGGATTTTCTTCCACAATTTTCGGCGACATCACGCGCTGCTTCCCTTCTCGTCCCCTCACCATTGTGATCGTCATTCCCCAATTTGAATTATTTATTGTTTGATTTTACACCTCCAGATTATCCGAATTGTTTCGGCTTTTCATTTCTATTTGTGTAATGGAGTTAAATTGTTTAATTATACAGCCATTGTCAATCAAATTGTTGACGTAAAACTTTGATATCGCCTACATAGTAGTACACGTACCTATTCATAACCTTAAACACGATTCTATTACTATCCCCTTTATAAATAACTAAAAGATAGATTTTCATTGTGAATTTTAAATGTTCAGCGGGTAAATTAGGTAATATTTTCTTGAGTGTCAACATTGTTAAAGCATCACAGTTTAGAAATACAGTTAGATAAAATTGATATCGTATCTCGTTTGTGGCACATTAAAATGCATTTCGGATAACCGGATTGCATTCAGCGTACACTACGTATGCCGCCTCGTCTGAATTATTCATCTCTCATTCGACCAGTCCATTGCTTCGATCACATTCACGTTTAAGTAAAACATCAGAAAAAATCTATATTGAAGGTTAGTAAATGAATCTCTCACCCAAGATTTCAGTTTCGTCTCTTCTAAAAAGAATGTTATGTACGTGAGTTCGTAGATTTCATTAAACTTACATATTAGTTTCTTTTGATATCTGTATGCAGTACAGTGTTACAATATTGTTTTACGGCTGAACGAATTTCGATGAAATTTGGTACAAGTTCAGGATAGTCTGGAAGAACACATAGGGAAGAACACATACCCAATTTTTTTCTTTTTTTATCAATCGACCGCAATTTAAAAAAAAATAGTATTTTTTTTAAATTGGTAATTTTTTAAATCGCGCGTAAAATCATAATTGATTAATATGTTTTGAACAAAATTTGCGTTTAAATAAAATAACATTTTTTATACACAGCAATCATTCAATTCTCACCGTTAAATGGAAACAAACCGACAACCATAAAGAAAGGAATTACAAGACATTCGGATTGCGTAACGCACCCGTGGAAATTCGACAAAATTTAAGTCGTTGGAGCATTAAAGGGGACGGCGGTATAGACGGTTAATTCACCCCATAAGGGTCGCATTGGCGCCGGCAATCCTGCCGTACACAAATTTCTAAGTACGATGTCTTGCCGCGTTTGTCGCTCCTCACCCACTCGCAACTACAACTTTTATAAAATGTTACTTCGTTCTAACTCCTGCTATTAAAGAATGCATTTGACTTTGAGTTTTGTCAGTTCGACAGTTAAATTTTATTGTTAGATAATTTCCGTCACAAAAGCAGTTTTCAATAGGATTTTGTATCAGAAATTATGGGCATGTTATAGACACAGTTTTAAGATTTTTAAAAATGTAAGACAGATAACTAAACTGCAGTAAATTATCACAAAAATTAGATTGTAAGAAAGTAACAGACAAATTTTTGAGCTATTATTGCTCACACTAGTCACCCAAAATTTGATTCATGATTGTGTTGTACACAAGTGGGCAACTTTTTATATGGGTCAAAAATTGTGTTTTACATTTATACCACCCAAAGTAATAAAAACGTCTTAATTTAACCAATCCCTAGATAGTCACAAAGTTGGTTAGTTGATAAATACAAAGAGTTCAAATATGGTTTTATCAATCGAACTATTGTCAATCGCAATTCGTTAAGGTTAAAAAAAGTAACCACGCGCCGTCATTAAACTACACATTAATGTAATACTTACCAATTCCAGTGTTCTCCGCAGTTAATTGCATTCTTGGCAATAATTCGGAGTCGTTGGTTCAGTAATGAAGAAAGCCGCGTTGAGGTCTGGCGACAGATCTATCAGGATGTCGACGGGACATTTGTCGCAGCGATTTCACGCTTGATATATCGTGCAACTTGTCTACATTCGGAAAATTTATCTCTATATCCTGATACATGTTGTATTTTACGCGAGTTAACTTGATGTATACTTATTTAACTATAATTTGTCCCATGTAAGTTTAAATATAGGAGCATATTTTGATTAAATTATAGTAGTAAAGTGATTTAAAATTTCGTATATAAAAAATAAAAAAATAAATTGATTGAAAACTTTAAATTGATGTTTATGCAGTTACGCATCTTGAACACAAACATATAATGAATGACATGTTTATTTACATAACGTATTTAAATGAGTATACGAAAATATTATAATAACGTTATTTTAAAATGAACAAAGCCAACACATACAAGTTCACATTAAAAACAGCAGCCGACGGAACGTAAAATTTCCATTGGAAAAGAGGACATTGAATAAGTAATGTGATGATAAGTCGCATCAGGACGTCTCCGTGTTAACGCGATTTGAGAAACGTTCAATTTTACAAGATTGGCGTGACACTCAATATTTTTTTGTCATGATTTATGTAAACCTGGATAGATCTATTCATACTTTATGCATCTGAATCTCTCGGCCATGTTTCGGATGGATTTATAAACAACTTCTGTTTTACAGAACACTTCTTTCGATAATCTTGACATAAAAACCAGGAACCTAAATTTTTGTCTTCTAAATCAACGTATAGTTCGTCTTTATTCGTCTTTTCCTATTTATTCACCTTACCTTTCACGATATCTGTTAATTGTTTTAATACTTGGGTTTTCTGCTCCACGTTAATAATTAAAGTACTTCTTGTCTCATGTGATACTTCGTCGTAATATATTCAATTTATATTCAAGCAATCGTATTTAATTGTTATAATTTAAGTATTTTCTCATGTCGTGTGATTGAAATAATTTCATGAGTAATATAATCACCACATATTTTTATTTAGTCTTTATTGAAGTGTCATTTCTCAGAGGGCGCGGTGAAATTATTTATGGAGTCTTTTATTGCTTAACTTCATTCGTTGCTGTGGTTGCTTTTATTCCTTCGACGGGAAAAAGTTGCCAGGTTTTATTGCCGGTGTGAGATAGGACACGTTATTGCACTAACTTTTAACGGTGGCCGGAATTAAAATAGATTATTTTTTTGCGGTCACTAAGGACTGGATATGACTGCGAATAGACTTTTTGTTTACCTCTACATTATTTTAACTGCTTCAATTCATATGACAATTACACTAAAAAAAAGTAATCATTTAGTTTTGAATCCCTCATTCGAAATGTCATTATTTTTTTTTATATTTCAAATTACATTAAGATTCGTTTTGTCATCCTCGGGTTACGTGGTAAACAAAATCGAAATATCCATTCTGTTAAGAAGAAACCGGTAACGCGCCGGAGTAGCGGTGCAACACTAGATCATTGCCATACACGTCCCATCCCTATAGCATCTGTCAATGTAATTTAAAAGTAATAAGGATAAGTGCGTGATTTGGCGGGAATCGGTGAACTGATAATTACATTGTTGCTATTGTGTAAAAATACAAACGTTCGCCTTTAAACATTAATAAAGATATCATATTAATTATTTTATTTTGTTACAGAACTCAATACGACACAACTTGTCACTACACAATCGGTTCATGAGGGTGCAGAACGAAGGTACCGGTAAATCGTCGTGGTGGATGATCAATCCTGAAGCGAAGCCTGGCAAGTCGGTTAGAAGACGGGCTGCATCTATGGAAACGTCAAAGTTTGAGAAACGAAGAGGTCGAGTCAAAAAGAAGGTATGATTATTTTATTTTTTTAATCTCTATTTTACATAACCAGTATGTTAATACACTTGAATAAAATTATAAATAGCGTCGTACTAGAAATTACATAATTATTATACATTGGTTAGGACATGTTAGATAAAACAAGAAAGATGATAAAATGTCAGTTACAATGTATTCCGTTATATCTGAATTTTGTAACTTTGAGAATACATGTTTTAAACAGTTCAAATATAAATATAGAGAAAACAAAAGAAAGATATGCCACAATAGCGTATACGTTTCAATCTTTTAATTTATTTAGTTTCTGGTCTGGTTAGGTGTAAGATATTATTTCTTGCTGTAAAAAATGTGGCTGAGTTCAATATATAATGGTTGTTTATACAACGTTATCATTAACAGACCGAAGCTCTAAGGAATGGTGTGACCGCAGACGCTACGCCCAGTCCCAGCAGCTCCCTGTCGGAGAGCCTCGACATGTATGACGACTCACCTTTACCAAGGTTAATATTTACTGCCCATAATAATAGTTAGTAACGATAATAGCTTATAGAATATTTTAGACTATTAGTCATTAGTTAGTGTCTAGTTAAGTACTGTAGGGTCTAAATAAAAAAAAATAAATAAATACAATTACTATAAAACAATCTAAGATTACTAAAGAGTCAGCAGTGTATTTCTAAACGGATTAAAATTGTATTAGCCTCACAATTCTCATCGTGTCACAAACACTACACTAGTTTTTATAGAATTTTAGTTACAGAGTTTAGCTCGAAACCCCAAAATTTATAATAAAACTATCGGCATAAAACTACGTTGACCAACGCAATAAAATTGAATTACGACAACCGTGTTACTTTACGATAAAAGGTTTTAAATCATTCACAACCATTAGATGATGAGTTATACGGATGCTGAATCTCGTCATTTAGGCTATATTTAACATTTTTATTGCCGAATATCTGTCGAGTTTGCGAGCTTCATAACCATTTATTTTGGTTAGTTTTTATCCAGTGGGAATCGACTTGTAGGGATTTTCTTACGATGGTTTATTTTGTCACTGTTTGCGGTAATAAAAATATTTCTATGCTGACCATTTAACCCGTTACAGTGATCGCGTCATTTGACATTCCCAGTTTGTACGTTAGCGGGGCTCAATGGCGTATCTCATTTGCATGCTTCCATTACAACGCGACAATAGTAGCGATGCTAGATGATAGACACGTTTTATTTCAGCTATTGATTATGATTATTTGCTTAGATACATATATTTAATTTGTAACCGAAGCTAGTTTATTAAGTAATTTAAGTCAAAATAGATTAATGCTACAGATTTATACGAAAATATTAGTTTCCTTAAACTTTCATATATCAATATTGAATGTACATTTTATTATTGAATTAAAAATAAACTAATGTATTCGTATTTAATTATAGATTATATGATTTGGTTATTTGACGCTTGTTCGCTTTGGCGTAGCAGTGGTTTTCAGTTGTCGCCGGAGTATCGACAGAGGGCCTCGTCGAACGCGTCGTCATGCGGCCGCCAATCGCCGCGACCCTCGCTGCAAACATCGGAACCGGACTGGATCACAGATTCTTACAACCCAGCTGATCTGTGCAATAATGACTTCACGACCGGTGATTTTGCATCGACCAGTGATTTCGCATCGACCAGTGATTTCCCGCAAATTGACTACGCACAAGAAGAACAGTTGGCTGGTTCGTTAGCTGACTCTATGAAACTACAAAGCGCCGACCCATTCCTAAATACGTAAGATATTAGATTAGTAAGCTTGCACTTTTAATACGAAATATCGAAAGCTATTTACCTGTAAATCATTTAGTCATGCTTCGATGCAATTAAAGGTATGCCACGCTAGAAAGCTTTGCTTATTTACTATTATCAGTGATTCAATTCATGTTTTTTATGTAAGCTTTCAAACTATTATACATCAACCGAATGTTTTAACATGAAAAATAACATAAGGAAAAAAACTAAATATAAAAATCACATCGTTGAGCTTACTAAAGTGGACGATGTAAGTCTTTTATATTTAACGGATTATTGTCATGTATTCACGTAAGTGCCGTCGACTAAGATGGACACGAAACGCATTATAATGATTGCAATCTAACCTCAGAACTTCACTGTACTAAAACTTGTATTAACACGTTTATTGCGGCAAGTAAAATCATAATTCTTATCTGGTGCGGCGGTGGGCCTAAATGCGCCCCCAATGATTCCGCCAGAGCGTGGCAGGTCTTTCTAGACCTACCAGCAAAAGGATAGAATAAATTACTATAACTTTGTGGAAACACAGTGTATTTCATCGTCCGCTGAAGTACCGCGTCAGGCCGATATCGGCCTGTTACGCAATGAGCGGGTTAAAACTTGTCATCACTTATATTCTATTCGAATAAACAGAGACAATGTGATTAAAACTCACAGTAATAATGTATCTTTTTCCTTTCAAATTACATAATAAGTACACTTATGTTTAGATATGTGCCGACGACGTCGTCTTCGGG